GCTTCACACGGGGTCACAGCCCCCTTTGGGCATCCCCCTGCTCCAGTGGGGGCTCCTCCATGGGCTGCAGGTGATCTCTGCTCCCCCCTGGGCTGCAGGGGCGCAGCTGCCTCACCATGGGCTGCGCCCCAGGCTGAAGGGGAGCCTCAGCTCTGGTGCCTGGAGCATCTCCTGCCTCTCCTTCCCTGACCTTAGGATCAGTACAAGTGTTCTTCTGACGTGGTCTGCCTCCTTTCTCTGGCTGAAGTTGTGCAGTTTTCTTTTTTGCCTTCCTAACTCTGTTAGCCCTGAGGTGCCACCACCGTCACTGATGGCCAGTAGCAGGTGCCACTGGGAGCTGGCTGGCCTTGGCTCCATCAGGCTTCTCACAGGAGCCATCCCTGTCCCCCCCTCACCAGCAGAATCTGGCCATGCAAACCCAGTACAGGAGGATACTTTGCTGCTTGTTCTTGCACTTGTATGTGACCTTGGCTTTAACAGTTTTAATCTGTTGCCAGAGAAATGACACAGCTCTCCCTCCGTGTGGCTGTGGGCTGCAAACCAATTCTTTCTCTTTTTTGAACAGCCATATTGCATTACATGTGCAATGCAAGTTGTGTAAAGTTGTTCTGCTCTCGTATGGTAGGTGAAATCTCAGTTAATTTGGATGAAAGGACCAACTTCTTTTGGTTCATGTAAATTTCTTTAAGCATCATCATACTACGTCGTAATATGATGTTTCATATTATGTTGGTGTTTCAACATAACATGAAACAGTGAAGTTTCTCTCAGTGGCAGTTTCAAGGGATAACATAAAGCAACTTTATGATTTGCTGATGGATTTAAATGCCATTTATAGCAAAGTAATGATTGTTCTCCTTGGTTGCAGTTAGTAATTAGAGGCAGTTGGAACTAAATTCCATTTTCTAAGGAAATATTCAGTAGAATTGAGATGCTCTCACATCCCTTTTGGACCTCTCACATCCCTTTTGGACTTCTCACTCTGTGTACTTTTCCCTTCGTGTAAGGAAGGGAACAGGGAATCAAACAGATGAAAATCTGATGCTCTGGTGTAAGTTTTTCATTCTGTAATTTTTCTGCTCATAGGTTAGAAGTGTTAGCTTGTCTAATGGTCAGGTGCTTCTGACTGAAAGCATCTAGCTTAACTCTAAGGCTGGTGGTGGTTTGTGCTGTAGGTTTATGAGGAAGCAATAAAGACAGACTGGAAGAAATACGGAGAGCAGATGGCTGCTTATAAAGCCCAGCTGACTCCAGCCCAGGCTGCAGCTCTGAAAGAGGAAAGGAGAAAACAACTGGCAAGGAGAAGATCAATCAGGGCAAAAAGAGTAAGTATTTTGAAGTTCAGGTTTCTTTTCTCTCAAGGAGCCTGAAGTCTCTTTGTCTAGTATACAAAGCAGAGTTGAAGCATGTTTTAGAAATACAAAAGCAACTCAGAACAGAAAAAAAAACCACCCAACATACACAAACCCCCCAAAATGCCATGCCTAGGCTCCAGTGGGAATGTCAGGACTGGAGAAAACAGGAAGTGTAATTGCATCTATAACTTGCTGTACTTTCATTCTCTAGCCATCATCCCTGTAGGCAAAGCATTCTGATAGCAGAAACACAATTCTCTTCCACCTTCTCACCTCCCACAGATAAGTGTGTGCCCTCTTCTCTGCACACAGGCAGTATTTCACACCAGAAACTGAAGCCTTACTGAAGAATAATAGAAAATCTGTCATCATAACTTCCTTACAGAGTTGAATTTAGTAGCACTCTCTGGTTTCTGGAAGATTTAGCTGAAGTAAGAATCAGTTCTAAATGCTTTTTCAACAGCTTGTGAAAACTCAAGTTGTTAGCTTTTTGTAGTTTAACATTAGTCTTGAAAAGCACTAAGAGCATCTTGACATACAGTCCAGTTTACAGAGTAAAACACCAAAGAAAGAATTTGTGTTTGATTTTTGCATAAAATATAAAGAGAAATACCGAGTTTAGTTTTGGAACAAATGCATGCTTGGTAGAGGAATAACTTCTCTTTTGTTTTTAAAGGAATTGAATCTGCTTGGAAAACCTAAAAGAGCTCGTAGTGGCTTTAACATCTTCCTGTCAGAAAATTTTCAAGAAAGTGAGGGAAATTCACCTGTGGTAAGCCAGGAAAGATTCTTTCTCTAAAATGTGTCCATTGTATTCAGAAAAATATAGTTTAGATGCTGTCATTTTCAGAGCTACTGTTCAGTAGTTCACTGTCTGGATGCTGCATTGCTGAGGTTATTTTTTTTAAGCTGTGGCCACCTGGCTATACTGCTAGCATGACCTGTTTAAAAAAGTGCTGTGTGGGTATACAGACTTAAAACATTTGTGCTATTTTTTGCACTTCAATGTTACAGACTTTACCTGTTCCTTTTGTAGGGAGAGAATTATTCTTCCCTTTGTTTTGATGTAGCAGTACAGTTTTTCAAAGAGCTGTGCTGGTGTGCTCCTGTTCTGGCAGTAGCAGTTTATTTTATCTCCTATAGTTCAGCTGGTATTATGGAAATACAAAAGTTCCTCAGCAAACTCACAAATTCTGCACTGAACTGTGCTTTGGGTGGATTACATGTTACGTTTATGTTACACTGGTGGATTACAGCACTTGAGGTGCTGCAGACCCACCCTGTGTGCCTCACGTGTTCCTTGCCCTACACATTCAGTCAGTAAGGATGGTGGACATAGTTTGTTCCTCAGTTTTCCCTGTACAAGGCAGGTTTCTCCAGTCAGCTGAGGCCTGCCCTGTAAATGTGGCTCAGATGATGCCCAGAAGCTTGTTTTGAACAATATAGTTTATTACTTACTTACATGGAAAGGGTAAATAAGGGGAAGCAAGCTTTTGTGCTTTTTTGCATTGGTTTGTGTTTGACTTCTGCTCATGCAGTATTCACCTGTATCCCTCTGAAGTCAGTCTGGTCCTGAAACAACTCTCATGTATTGCATGTTCTGTATCCCCTAGGCAAAGATGAAGAAACTATTTGATACGTGGCAAAAAATGTCTGCTTCCCAAAAGCAGGTATGTCAGAGGATTTCAATGAGGCTCTGATCTCATCAGAATTAAAAACTTGAGTCAAAATTGATATATTTGTACAAAGTCTTGAACTCAGTTGCTCGAATTATAACACTGAGGAGAATACTCCAAGATCTTTATGCATCTTGAAAAAGATTGTCATTACCTTTATTCCAGTAGTGACCATTTAATTCATAGTGTTGTTGAAACATGAATCAGTAGGATAGGATGGAAGTTTGGTGTGCCTTAAAGTGGATGCTAAGCAACATCTAGAGAAGAAGGTGGAATAATGTGCAACAAATTGATTTTTTTATAATCATCCATAATATCTTTTAACACCAGCGTAAGAATTTGCTGCTCATGGAAAGACTTCTTACAAGGGAATGTAACAGAAATCCACAAGTGATGTGCACAGGGTAATTTATTAACTTTGGTTTTGTGGGGGATAATTTTCTGCCAGCTTTCTGAGCATATTGAACTATGAACTGATTTCAGTGCTGTACTGAAATCTAAAGTAAACCTTGACATGTTGAGGCTTTCTGTACCCTGCTGTGCTTCCTCCTGAATGCCCTTCTTCCAGGTGGTTTTTAATGAGTACTGAGGACATAACCTAGGTTCATGTTCTTACTGTAGAAAAATAATTTGAAGTAATTCCACAGCAATATCTATTCCTGTGCCTCACGTAGTCTAGCTGTCTTAAACTAGTGCTCAGATAAAAAAGCCTTAACTGGTAGTAGTAGTACTGAATAAATTTCCTCTTCAGGAATGGCCAGCTGCTGACATAACTGCAGTTTAGTGCTAAAGCTTTGTATTTTTTCTGCGAGTTTTATTTTTTTGGGGTTTATTTTTTCAATTAGCTGGGGTAGAAAGCAAATGCCTGGTCTGTACACTGTACAAGTGTTGTTCTAAGTCACCTTTGTGTGTGGCAGTTCTCCAGAAAAAGCCCTTCTGTAACTTCTTGATACCCTATTTTCTTTCAGCCATACTTGCAGCTTGCTCAAGATGATAAGGTTCGGTATGAGAATGAAATGAAATCATGGGAAGCAAAAATGATTGAACGGGGACGTGAAGACCTGGTGCGTTCCAAAAAGCGAAGGTTAAGAAAGAAACCTGCTGAAACTGCAAAGCAAACTGAAACAGCCAAAGCCAAAGCTTCCTCAAGTGGAAAAAAGGCAAAATTGAAAAAATCCGAAGAATAAAAAATCCCCTTCGGTTGTCTTATTTCTGTCCTGCTGCATTAATGCTGCAGTCAGCATTAGCACTGAAATGTGGAAAACCCATGAAGGGCCCTTTGGAAAGGTGATCAGGTAAGAGTGGAGTTACTGTCTCTCAGAACTGACTGAAATAATCACTGCAGGTGTAGCCTGAACTGTAGAATAGCAATTAATCAAGCTGTGAAATGATACCCACTGACATCAGCAGTGCTCTCCAGTAACGGTTGATAATATCCAGCTTTTATAAGGTATTTTTTAATGAAACAATAAAAAATATTCTTTATCAAAGAAAGAATATTCTGCAATGTTACCATCTAAATTCTGTAAATAAGAGCTGAAATCTGAGTTAACACTGCTGTGTTTTATTCCCTCCATGTTATTGCTAGTGAGATGTTCTACATTTCAACAGACAAAAGAAACACAAAATGCTAGCTTTTATTTTATGCATCTGTCTTTTTGTACCTGTTAATCTGTGTATGCCACTTCTGTTGCATTTAAAAACCATGTGAGTTTTGTATAAACGTACCTTTATTGGACTTTGATTTTGTGGTTTTGTTTGGATACATACAAACATTTTTGTCTTGCTGTTGTCACATTTGGGGCAACCTAGAAGGAAAAGAATTATGTGAACTGCTTGGACTTTGAGTTTTGGTGTAATAAATACAGGTATTTTGAAGAGGTGGTTGGTTTCTTTCCTGGAGCTTCTACATCATAGTTAAATCTCATAGATATTTTGAGGAATCTGGTTTTAGAATGCAGGCCAACTTTTTCAGTATTTGGTGGATCTCATCTGTTCTGAGTGACCCACAAAATAATCATGGAATTCTAGAAAGGCTTGGGTTGGAAGGGTCCCTCAAGATCACATGGTTCCAATTGCTCCCGTAGGAAGGGATGCCACTCACCGAATCAGGTTGCTCAGGGCCCCATCCAACCTGGCCTTGGACACTGTCACCTCAAAAGGAGCATTTTCCTCAAACCCTTTGTGTTTGATCAGTCTGTCAATGCCCTGGGGTTGACTGCAGACATAAATTGGAAGCAATTATAGACAAGCTCTGAGTGCCAGTGCAAACCAGCTTGAGATAATCACTCAGTGCACATAGAATCACAGAATATCCTGAGTTGAAGGACCCATCAGCATCGTGAAGTCCAACTCCTGGCCCTGTAGAGGACACCCCAGGAATGCCCCCTGTGCCTGAGTGTTGTCCAAACACTTCTTGAATACAGACAGGCTTGGTACTGTGACCACTGCCCTGGGGAGCCTGTTCAGTGCCTGACCAGCCTTTGGGGTAAGAACCTTCTCCTGATACCTGACCTAATCCTCCCTGACAGCTCCAGCCAGTCCCTCGGGCCTTGTTACTGGTCATGAGAGTGAAGAGATCAGAACCTGCCCCCCCAATGCCCCTCAAGAGGATATTGAAGGCCTCAGTGAGGTCTCCCCTTCAATCTCCCATTTTCCAGGCTGAACAAACCAAGTGACTCAGATGTGCTGATGCTCAGGCCTCAGGCAGAGTTGACTTAACAGATGAAACCTGGGCATTATGTGACTGACACCATCAGTATTATTTAGCTAAAAATAGATGACTGAGACACTTCTACCAGCTGTTTCACACCGTACTGGCTGCTTTAGAAACTTTCACATAACCTTGTGTAGTTATCTGCAAGAAATGTATCATTCTAAGAAATTTGCACAACCAACACGAATAGGCTTGCTTGTAGGATATGTTAGGGGAAACCCTCCCAGCTAAGGCCTGGGCTCTAGCCCCTGCTGGATGAGAAGTGTGCCATGAGACCCAGATGCTTCTGCTGAGCTTTTTGTCCTGGTACCTTTAGTATGTGAGCGGTCCCTGGTGCCATTCTGTTTGGATCCTGACTCTGGGAGACTGAAGGCATAGGATGGTACCTGGAGCTGAGAAGGAAAGTGCTGATAGCAGGGTGTGACCTGGTAAATCGATGGGCGCACTTGAAGTTGTAGGCAGCAAGAGCCTTCACAGCTAGCAGCTTTCTCAGCGAGCTCTGTTTTTGCCAGATGTTTTCAATGTTGTGGCCAGACTCTGTGAGAGCAAAAAGCTCGGTTAGGGCAAAGCAGTTTGTGCTGCTCTTTGAGTGTGCTGTGAAGAAGGGTGTGCTCTTGGAAGGGGCGGATTGGGGAAATCTTTTTGTCCTGGCCCAGCTGATTGGAGAGCAGGGACGTTTCCAACTTGGCTCTGCCCCGGGGGTGGTGTGGCGCTGGGCTCGGTGCCTGTCCTGCGAGGCGACGGCGCCGTGGTGTGGTGATTTTGTGAGCGCTGACAGCGCCCAGGGCAAAGCCAAGCGCTTTTCTGCCCAGCCCCGTTGCTGTGGGAGCAGTTCAGGGAAGAGCTCCGCTGCGGATCTGGGCTCTTGGAGACAGACTGTGATCTGCGGGAAAGGAAGAGGAATTGTTTCGGTTTTGGCTTTGCACTTTACAGGCTGCAAAAGAAAAGGCAATTCCAGCACGGTCTCTTCCTTTTAGAACCCTTTCTGTGCTCAACATGTAACACAAACCTACTGAACTCCATCAAACTCCCTGGAGATACGTGCTGTCCCTCTTGCACTCTAACTCTTGCAGCAGCTAACGTCCAGCAACTACTCCCAAAGAAAAAGTTCCGGAGCAAAAATCCATTTCTGGCCTTCATAGCCCCTTTGCAGTCTGTAAAGCAGACAAATCACACTAGTGTGCCACACGTTCCTGCTGAACAATATATAGAGCACCTTCACGTGCTCAAGGTGGCAGAGTCCCTTGTTAGAGTGCAGCAATTCCATCTCTGTTCAGACAGTGTGGTGTGTCAGGAAAGAAGACATTTGCTGACCTTCCCTCTACGCTGTAAAACCTGATTTCCAGTGCAATCACTTTCACTCAGCTTTAACACAGTCCACAGCCCAAGCAGCTATATCTCACAAAGAAAGTGTCAGGACAGAAGACGTTCCTAAGGCAGCCATTTCTTCCAGCACCATTTAGATTTCACAGCATATTTGGAATACTCACTTTCCTTCTGGCATATACAAAGTGGCTGATTTTTAACTCTCGTGGCTGGGCTGCAGACAGGGAGCAGCTGCCCCGTCAAACAGGCTGTACAAGTAAAAGCCAGTGATGGGCTGCACCTTCCCCTTGCCTCACATGAATCACACAGGCTCCCTGCTGCCCTTCTCCACTGCACCTACCATGGTGTTCTCTGCATCTCAAATCCTAGAGGTGAGTGCAATTGTTTCCACAGAGGGCTGGAAGGGGAATAGGTAGCAGCACAAGCAGCTCTCGTTGAACTCGCTCCTTCTGACTGCTGCCGAGAGTTGGGCAAGCAAGCGTGTGGCAGCCACGCTCCTCTTGCAGCCTGGAACACTGTGCTCACAAGCATGGTGCTTGTGTGACTTCATTCACTGCCTCTTTTATCACACTTCCATTCCCCAGAGGTGAATATTTGTCAACTATTTCCCCCTGCTGCAGCCTGGAACACTGTGCTCACAAGCATGGTGCTTGTGTGACTTCATTCACTGCCTCTTTTATCACACTTCCATTCCCCAGAGGTGAATATTTGTCAACTATTTCCCCCTGTTGCAGTTTTTATATAAGCCATAAAATAAGGAATGGAATATTTTGAACTGAACATTTATTTTCTCTGGCACTCTTAACCGAGATATGCATCCCACAACCAAACTTAACTTGCATTACTTCAAAGGATCCCAGTATTTTTAGTATTTGGGAAAGTAATTCTACTTCATCAGAAACAGAACACCATAGAGGAAAATATATAATGCAGAAATTCTTTATGATGCCCTCAGGCTTTGTATTCTCTGACTACAGGAAGAGAGGTGGGTTTTTAGTGTAGTCTTTAACAGAACTTCTTTCAAGAGCAAAGCTATCTAAAAAAATTAAATCAGAAGAGCTTTGTTCATTCTGTGCTGTATGCCAGACATTCCTGGTATTAATGTGCAGGCAACCTACAACACTAATTCTTTTATTTCTTCTGCAGCTTAACTAGTCATCAGAAACCTATGAGGTGTGTAACTTTTTATTTTGAAAGAACATTCTCTAAGAACACAGGCCAGACAAAGCTAGTACTTAATTCCTTACATACTGAAGGAGTTTATAATCATTATTATGGTAGTGCCAGTGTAGGAATTCAAACCAGGAGCACCCAGCACTAGGAACAGGCACAAGGAACATCAAAAGCAAGCAGATACATAGCAGAACATGCTAAAAAGGTAATTCCAAGTGCTCCCACTTATTTCCCTTTGCATGCATCTCATGGAAAGAAACTCTAAAATCCCTCTAGGATGACTTCCAGAAGTTCTGGAGTGCTGAAGCCCTGCCTTGGCAAGAGGCAGTGCTACTGGCAGATGCTCCAGCTCACAGCCTCTGGCAGGCCTTGCATCCCTTCCCCAAGCAGATTTGTAATCAAGTTTTCTTGGACAGCTGGCACACAGCTGGCCACCACAACTGTAAAAGCATTCAGAAACACAGGCTTGTCTTTTGGGTAACCCTGACTTTCTGCTTCATTTAACACCCCTTCTTCCTGCACACAATATAATTTTAATCTTGCTTCGTTCACAAACCCATAAAGAAAAATGTCATCCTCATTTTTGCCACTCACTCAAACAATGACAGGGAAAAGTAACTTAATTACTGCATCTTTTTTCTTATCCTAATAATGCATGTGAACCACTTAGAAAGAAAGGAGGAGGAAGAAGACTCCTGGCATTTCCTTGAGACAGTGTTCTCATTTAACAAGACCCTTTGTTTGCAAACACAGCTTTTACACAGGAAAACAAAACACCAGGACAGGAGTAACCCACTGCTGAAGATGCTTGGGTAAAGTAGTCTCCCCTACCCCCTAAAAAAGCAAAATATTTTTTATTCAGAACAATATGGTTAGGTAATGTGTGGAACACTATCTCCAGTAGAGACAGACATGGCAAAACCAGGTTTTTTTCACCTCCCACTAATACTGCATGGCCTCTGTGCTGCTCAGCACACTGACACTAAGCACTTTCAGTGCTGCTCCACTCCCAGTGAAATGCTCACACAGGTCATTGACAGAGCAAGGGACCCACGAGCAGCATTTGAGTAGGGTGGGCCAGGGGCAGGCAAGAAAGTATTCTACATGGAAAATATCTTAAGAAAAACCTTTCAACAATCTCACCTGAGATATACACTGGTTTCCTGCCCAGTTTATCTGACAAAGGGTTAAATGTGATATTTCCAATGAGCATCCCAGCAAAAAACAGGTATGATGCAAGGCTTAATTTGTAGGCTTCTTGTTCAATTAGGTACCACTTTAAAAAAAATCCTTATTAAAAGTCTGCCCTTCCCCCAGTAATAAAAGATATCAAAATTATTATTTTATTTCCCACTTATTCTTTTATATCCCATTAAAGTTTTATTCAAAGTTTGATAGATAAGCCAACAGTAGTCATATTCTTTCCTCCATAACTGATTCTAACATGTCTCCTCCTGGAAATTTCATTGTAATAAATTAAAATTGTTCCATGTGGTAAGCAACATTACCTGCACCCCAATTCCCAAGCTTTGGCAAAGCAGCTTATCTTGGGCTATTAAAACAAGGACCAGTGGAAAGCATAGCTAATTCACCACTAAACCAGCACAGTTATTTCAATGAGCAGATATTAAAGTTTCTCCATGAAGAAGTACAATGCACATTCACTACTGCAGTACTTAGAGAGTTAATGCTGTGCTTTCTGAACAATAAGTGATCCCTGGTGCCTTCCCTCACCACACATATGTTGAACTCTTGAAGAGAACCAGAAAAGGATTACAGCAAAATGTCTTGGTTCATAAAAATGCTCAGAACTAGTTATGGGCTACTCATTGATATTTCAGTATCTTATTGTGCACATGCATTTACAATTTTAAAAGAAGTTACAAATAAACTATAGGTTTCTTTATAAAATATATATTCTACCTCATACAAAATCTAAACTGAGGCAGCACAATCACAAATCATCAAAGAGAAGACAATTACCTGAGAGTGGATTGAAAATACTATTTCCCAATGGGGCAAGGCACACAGACAGCTTGTACAGTGATTAGTTCCTGCAGAACATAAGAGCCACTGTGGAGTTTTTCTGAGAACACTGTCCCTGCAAAACCAGAACAGAACTGACAATATTTAAGTTCCATTAATCTTAATCTCCATCAATAAAATAAAGGAAATAAACTTTACAGAAGCAGCTATTGCAGGGCAGAACAAGAGAAAAGATTGCTTTTACAAACTGGTACTTTTGCTGCTTAGGGGCTGCATGTTTGTATTTTAATAAGTTTGATACACTGATCTGTGAAGAAAGTAACTTTTAAAAGAATGCAGCGATCTACTTTATTTGCACAAAGGGAGCTTGTTCAATATTCTTCAAAATTAACTGTAGCTTGCCAACAAAAATTTTGCCAGGGAGAAAAGGGGCTGCCAGGAGAGGAGGTTGGTCCAAGCAGGACACCCAGGGACACAGCCACATCTCTCCAGCAAATTGGCACTCAAAGGGGAGCTGCAAGAGACACCCCAGAGGAGAGCAGAACAGCTTGGCAGTTGTTCCACTGTGGTTTGAACAAGGGAGCAGCTTTCCTTCTTTCATGACCTCGATTTTAAGAGAAGCATTGTTTTTCATCCAGGTTCAATCTAGACTAGATAATTGCAGGCCTCTAGCAAAGGTTTCTTTTGCTCAGTAGCCTTCTCCAAAGGCCAGGAGATTGTCCTGCCAATTCACTGATCAATTTGAACTACTATAAATGCTCTCTTACCCAGGGGCTTGCAGAGTAACAAGTAAAAGCTCCACATCCTACGAACAGCACGAGAAACTCGAACCTTCAAGTTAGCAAGAATGGAGACATTACCATCATTAATGAAAGCTGGCAAAAAGGGGTTTGACAAAAGCACAGCAAGCGGCCATTGGCACAGTTCCTTCAAGACACGGTTATGTTTTGAAGGCACAACACACACGGTTATGGCTGCATTTTTCCAGCATTACATTTGTTTACAATCACACTAACTTTATACAGGGTTTTAGGTTTGCTTTGGGGCTTTTTTTTTTAAAGTCTTTCTCTTGAGCCATATAAAGAAATTCTATTGTTTAAGGCAGTAAGGTAGGATGACTTTCCCTCAGTATTTTTAGTTCATTTTTACTAGAATTAGCAGAAAGATTGGCTGGGGTGGTGCAGCTCCCTGAGGAAGCAGTGAGCAACATAGTGAGTGTGGTACACAGGAAAAGCTAAGTGAGAGTCGAAGTGCTGCCTACCTTGGAACTGTTACAGCCTGGAAAAAATGAACTTTCCAAATAGTTTCTTAGCTTCTCCATCCACGTAGTCACCGTACATTAGCAGACAGCAGTGAAATTCTACCTTTTGAATTCCTTGTAGTCTCTGCTCAAGCTGCTTCCATAATTCCCATCCTGATGCAAACAGCAATCAGTTGCTGAACTTTGGCAAAGGCAGGCAGACATGAGACAGGCTCCCACTCTGTTCCTGAATACATCTCTGGGAAGGAGGAAAATAATTTTGGAAGTCTCCTGATTTTACAATATGTATTAGATTTCTCCTCATATTCCACCATTTGTTATCCCATACTACAGGGGAAAACGCACAATGCTTAAGAACTTAAAAAAAATCCCAAAACCAAAAAACCAACCAACAACAACACACCCAAAAAACCTGTCACCATTGCTGCTGCTGAATATTTAACATTTTAACCTAAGATGTACAAAACACCACTAGTTTTGAATAATGATACTATTCCCTGAGTGGGTCTTACCAGCATCATGTTAAAAAGCAGGAAAGCAGCTTTTGGCCCACATTTAGGATTGCTCCCACTACCTGCTAAATGTCAGATGAAGAAATAAAGGAAAAAAGTCAGCATTGCTTTCTGACATCCACAATTTCTTGGCAGGGTGCTTGTACTGCATGAACTTTTCTGACATCAGAAATTGAATCACTGCAAGATCCCTTAAGAATCAGTCTGTGCTTCTGGGATGGATTTTCCTAACACTTAAAAATTATTTATTTCTACTGTCTTGAAATCTTCCTCCTCAATTAGCCATATCAAGAAATTCTTTTATTTCAGGAAGGAAGCCAGGAAGCCTTGCAAACAAGGCCCAGAAAATGTGGTTACTGAGGTTTTTGCTTGGGTTTTGGTAAGGGTGTTAACAGATGACTCAAAAGGAGGCTTGAAAAAGGAAAGGGCCAAATTCATCTATGCATCTCCTTCTCTGGATTAGCAGAAGAACTCTGGCTGGGGAATACAAAACAAAATCAGTTTGATGTCCAGCAGTTCCTCAGGAAGTTACACTCTTTTGGGACACTGAACATCTCAATATTAATTTACTCAGAACCATACATCTAATCAAACCAGGTGACACTACAGCATGTTCAAGTTGTCTTTAGCAGGGTACATTTCATTTCAGCCTAAATTAGCTTCAGACTTCACGGCAGAACCTCAGGGGCAGTTTAGTCAAACTTTAAAGAGTTTTTCAAGTCTCTCCAAAGTTCAGCTAGGTTGTTTTTGGTGCTTGAACCATTGTAATAAGTAACACAATACAGATTACACAGTGACTAGTTTGTTAATAGTAATTCAGGTAATAAAATATCCACTGCATCTTGCTCAAAGCAGCATTTATTAAAGACAGCATCAAGATAAGTCAATGCATAATGAAGTTTCCATCCTACAAATATGTAAACAAGTTGACAGCAAGTTATTATTACAATATAAAAATTAAAGCTTACATTGCATTTTTTAAAGCTACTATCTTCAGTCCAAATGTATATTCTCTGGTTTGTAGCATTTAAAAATACAAGTTCTTGAAAAATGTTAAAGTATTGCCTTTGCACATACATTTTTGTAGAAAAAGTACTTAAAAATACCAACTTCCCATTAAGAAAAGCAACACCAAAAATAAAACACATTTTTGTCATGAACAGCACGTTGAATGTGTCCAGCATTTTCTTCACCATTCTCTTTTACCAAGTTATCTTTTATTTTAAAAGTCATTATAGTTTGCAAAATGTATGTTGGATGTTATTCAGTTACTTTCACACACCAAAGGAATCAGCAATATTGGCAATTACATTGCAATCAAAGTCAAGCCTAAGCTCATTTGCAGCTGAGGCCACCAATTTAATCCTCATCTCAGACTGGGTATTTTAACAAGTAGAGTAGGCTCCTGCTAAGAAAGCTGAGTCAGTTCAGATATATTTTGGAAAGGCTTGAAACCTTGATATGATTTAAAGAGAAATACATATATTCTTTTAAAGCACTTTTAAACCCCAAGTCTTTGTTTGACTACAGTCAAATCAGCAGTCCTGTTGGTGGCAGTCAGTCAGTTCTCAGGAAACACTTTGTTCAGAAGATTAGATAATTTGACATCAATTACATTTTACATTCCAAATCTAAAAAGAATGTTAAACATGGATTTTTAACATTTTTTTTCACAAAGTTTCCTGGCAATAGCTAGACAGATGACTTCTGCAGTTGCTAAGGCAAAAAAGTCTGAAAATTCCCTGTAACCAAAGTTAAAAGATTGTAGTGTTTCAAAACCAAAGTAAACTAAATTCAACAAGGAGAGAGAACTACGGGATGAAAGCTAATCATGCCATTGTGCCCTGACAAGCACCACCTAACAATGAACAGTAAGAAGAAAAAATGAAGATAATCCAGTGAACCAGTTTGAGGATGAATTCAAAGATCAAAATCAGGCTGGCAAGAAAATATTTTTATAGTTGGCTGTTAGACTGAAGAAAACAGCTAGGAAAACACTGAAGGTTTGATCATGTAAGAGAGTTACCTGAAAGAAGTACATTTATATGCAAATGTAATGAATATGAATAATACTGCCAGCTTTCCTAATTCCATGCAAGTTCCAGGAAGAGGAGGATTTATTTAGCCTTTATCACTACTGAGTTAGCAAGTTAAGTCTGCCAGAAGTTACAGCCTCAGGTACATAGAGACACATAGAGCAACTTCCTGACAGGAGTGTGGTAGAGCCTGAAACACTTCAATGATCTCTAGCCCTAGAAATGTGTTAAAAACACAACCCCCAAAACAGGATCTACACGAACCTGTAACAGGAACTGTAATTCTGAAAAAATGGCTTACTCTACTCCTTCATGCAGGATTATGATTTGTACAAAGATGATCATTTTTTTGCCATGCTTGCTGGTAGAACAAGCATGATTAGTTACAGCAAAACGGGTCAGCAAGTGCTCAACTGTACAGTAAGAGTTAGAGATTCCATCCCAGGCCCAGGTTACTATTCAGAGAGGGGTGAGATGCAAACACAAGAGCTCAGGGCTCCTTAGTGTCTTATATACTTAGTGTATAGAGGGGCTTAACACACAGACAAGCCTCAGGGAAACAGAGGAGAAGCACAAACATTCCTGGGGCAGAAGTCCCACACTGCAGGGGAGTGATCACTCCTTGCCCACAGCTCCTTAGAAAAGCTGGATAACAAGGTACAGTTTTGGTTAGGGGATGGGATTTTTGCACTGTACTCATTTGGGAGAGAGCAGCCTTCCTGTCTTCTGGTATCAAACTGTGTTTTTGAGTGAAGTAATACAGGTTTTAGCCTTCTAATCACACATGGCCTGCTGGGACTTCTCACTAAAGCACCGAGGCTCCTCAGAGATGCTGAAGTGCTGTTTTGTTGAAGTGCAAAGTGCACAGCTTTGCACAGGGCTTGCAGACACTTCCCACAGCCAGGGAGGAACAACACCAACACAGACCAGCTGCGTTTGCACCCACAGAACTCAAACCCTGGCTGAAGAGTGCAGAAGAATACTTGGAATGCCAGTCTGTGCTGCAGACCATCAAGTGCCTACCAGCAATGAAGTGCTATGGCTGTAAAAGAAAAAGAACTGCAGCAGGCCCAAGCCTCAGGAATATATTTAAAATCTCTGCAGCAGACTTAGAGATTACTGTCAATACCTGTGGAAAGGCCTAAGGATTGAAGTCAGAGATCCAAGGATAAGGAATCCATGCCATTTCCTCTTTGAGGGAAGTAACAAGGACTGTCCCAAAGATACATAATAAAATACTATCTGCAAAAAAGTGGGTGGTTTCTCTCTGAATCCACAGTAGAAATATGGTCACACAGCAAACTAGAATCAGCCTAATTCTCAGAACTGCAGAAAACAGTACCAAAGGTGACCTAAAAAAGGAGTTTTGACAAGTCGCTGCACTGAAAGACATTGTAAAATTAATCTCTGTGCAGATATGCCATGGGACTCTAGGTTATAAAATGACTGACTAAATCAACTAGACTTTTAGAAGAAGCTATTTATATGCCAATATTTTAGTAATAACTTCAGCAATAAAAGAAAGTACTACACAGGCCGTTTTAGAATCCACATATGGTATGAAATATACACTCATACGTGTTCTTAAGTACAGATATATATAAATATATTTGTTCTTAAAGCAATGTAGAGCAAAACTAAACCAGGGCCTGACTAAGCTGTCATACATACCTTTATGGCAGCATGACTTCAACACACAGCTCGTGGGCTGATCAGATCCCTGAGGCGTATCACTGGAATTGCTACAAGTTTTACTTACCACAATTTTAACCAAAAACTGACTTAAATCATGTTACATCTCTTTAGATGGAGGAAGACAGACACAAACGAAACAACCCCACAAACAAAAAACACCCCAAACCCCCCCAAAAAAAAACACACACGCAGACAAAACCCACACAGCCCTATAATACATAGAAAGGCACCTGATAATATTGTTAGTAGCAAATATCTACAGCATCCTAAGTGTACTTAAGGAATCAGGATAAATTTTAAAAAGATCATAAAATACAAGAATTGCTGGCATTCAAAATGTAACTCTAACCTATCTAGCAAGTCACTAAAATGACATGTGCAGTTGTAAATCATTAAGAGTGTGCAAAACTATGCAGTTTTGCATAAAGTGCTATATGTACCCCCAGTTTGCAAAGCTTGGCAATATGATGCAAGATGATGATGTTAAGGATGTATCCTACCTACCTCATCTTTCCTTTCTCTTTCCCACCGTCATCCACTGTCCTTTAAACTGTACATTTAAAAATTACACAAAGGCCTTTTCAGGAATTATAGTTCAGAAAAATATTTCAAGTATATCTATCTTTCAATGTAAACTTGGGGACACTATGGTTCAATTCTGACAAGCTCTAGATACTTAAATCTTCTGCTAATTCAATTAGAGTTGTAATTATTTCAATCTGTTCAATACCTCTGGCAAAAGAGTATTTCCTATTCCTCATTTAACTCCTATTTAAGGAGTGCTGAAATTCATGCTGTAACTTGTCCAGATTTACATCTAAACAATTATAGAAAAACAGAGTAATACTTTATCTGATCATTTGGGTTCACAAAAACAAGTCCTACCATATCTGTTCATACAGACTCATTTTAGGAATTGTACACAGATCTGTAAAACTTGAATTCAAGTTATTATAGTACAGCAGTTTCTCTTGCAGGCATTGTGCAGTACACTTAAAAGTATACAGCAGGTCTCTTCTTTACTCTGTATTTCAGTGATCCATATCGTATCTGAGGGGAAAAATAAAATTATAACAAAGAGTTGAGTCACACCAAGCAGAAATATGATTCACCTGCCCACTAATCTTATTTTGCAAATGTCTTTCACTGTGCTTTGGACACCCCAGTTTCACTAAGATAATCTGCCCATGACTAAATAACAAAGTTTCAACAGAATTGGGCAAGAAGAATAAGTATCATCTGTTTTCCTGCAATGACCCAAAAGCTTCTATGAGACTC